GGAGAATTGCTACTCTTAAAAATATTGAGCATTCTGATCCATAAGTAAGATTTATAACTTCATTTATTTGTATTTAATTTCATACAACAATGTCTTATTAACTGTTCCCCTCAACAAACCATCAGACACCAACAGTACATTTATGCGACCGATCCGTATATATATGTATATATATAATGCCTTAGTACTTTCTTTTTCTTCATTCCCTCATCCCAGTTGTTCAATTAAAAGGTTTTTTTAATATTTTGACCAATTTTGCATGCTTGTATCTGGTAATCTGAGCAATTTATGTGATGACAACAATTTGCAGTATAACACCCAGTGGTGAATTCCTACAGTCCTGCCTAGTGACACTATGCATTGTCTCTAATGTTCTTTTAAATTATTATTTTCTTATTCCCTTTAATGATTTGATCAGTCTTCTATTCTTACGTCTGATAATCTGAGCAACTTTGTTGAAGATAACAATATGTAATATAACAACCACTGTTAATCTCTCTCATTTGGTTTGAAACCCTGTATCATTTTTAATGTCCTTGCTTTGTGTTGTTTGTATTTTGCTATTGTTCTTTTTTTGTATTATTTTCTTTAAAATAAAAGAACAGAGGCAGGGGATATAGCTCAGCAGCACAAGTGCCTGCTTGTCAAGCGCAAGGTCTTGAGTTCGATTCCCAGTACCAAAAAAAAAAACAATGCTTTATAGTTTTCACTGTATAAGTGTTTCATATCTTTTGTCAAATTTATTCTCAGGTATTTCATATTTTTATATTAGTATATAAATTGTGTTTGTTTTCAATTTCTGTTTATTCTTTGCTAGTATAAATATACTTGATTTTTTATATTTAGAATTGGTTTTTATATATTAATTTTATGCCCTGCAACATTGTCTGACTCCCTCAATAATTTTAATATCTTTTTTGTAGATTCCATAGAATATTCTAAATAGATGTAAATAGAGAGAGCTTTACTTTTTTACTTACCAATCTGGATGTCTCTTATTTCTTTTTCTTGCTTTATTGCAGTGGCTAGAATCCTAAGTACATTGAATGCAACTGGTGAGAGTGAACTTACTTGTTCCTTATACCAAGGAGGAGGAGAAAGTCTTCAGTCTTTATTAAAGATAATGTTATTTATGAGCTTTTCATAAATACCATTTATCAAATTTAGTAAATTTTCTAATACAGACATTTGGTGCTATACATTTTCCCTTAAGTGTTGTTTTAGAAGCATTCAGCAAATTCTGACATGTGATACTTTCATTTTCATTTGAATCAAAACATTTTCTAATTTCTCTCTTGATTTCTCCTTTGATCCAATGGTTATTCAGAAGTCGACACATGCACCACATAAATGAAGCTCTGGTCAACAAGGGACCACAAAGCATAGATCTGAAATGTCTCCCAAGGACTCTGCAACAAAGGCTTGGTCTCCAAGCTATGGGCATACTGGGATATGGTAGAATCTTCAGAAGGCGGGGCCTTGGGGGAGGAAATTAAGTCATTGGTGAGTGGGACCTTGAAGAGGATAATGGGACCCCAACCTCTATCTGTTTTTCTTTTTAATTATTTTTGGGGGGACAGGATCTTGCTATATAGTTTAAGCGAGGCTGGAATCACTATGTAGCCCAGGCTGGCCTCAAACGTGTGGCTATCTTCCTGCCTCAGCCTCCCAAGTGCTGGGGTTATAGGCATGCACTACCATGCCCAGCCTCTCTTTTTATTTTTTTTGTGTTTTTTTTCCTTCCTGGCTACCATGAGGTTAGCGATTTCCTCTGCCGTGTTCTCCTGCCATGATGTGCTATGCCACTGCAGGCCCAAAGCAACAATTACAAGTGGCCATGGGCTGAAATCTTTGAAACCATGAATCAAAATCTTTCATATTTAAAGTTGATTATCTCAGATATTTTTGTCACAGTGACAGAAAGTTACTATCAGTTACAAACAGAAAACAGATATCAAGAAGACTGCCTCACAGTTAACTACATCAGTAATCATACACACAAAGTCCTAAACACCCTAATTAAAAAGCAGAGCTCGTCAGATTGAATTTTTAAAAAATAGAAGTAACTGTATGTGAAACAGAAGTGTACCTTAAAGACATAAACAAGTCAATAAGAAAAGAATGAAAAAATACAGAAAAGTATACCATGATATTTTTCTTGACTAGATAATGCTGGTCAAAGTAGATGACATATACCTATACAGTGTAGGACTACATCTGTCTATACATCACACAACATATTGCCAAAATTAAAGAAAGTGACTTCATGATATTAAGGTGTCTGTTATGGTTGGTACATTGTGCCAACTTGGGGAGTCTAGAGGTTTGGCTAAGTGA